AAGCGGAGGGGTTAATGAGTGGGAGGCTTGCAGCTGCTGTGAGAGTAGCAGCTACTCAGTAGAGATTTGCTCCAGAATCCTAGATTTTGGTAAGAAGCTGTGCACTCCCTCTGCCTGGATGAGGAGATTCAGTTACACTTGTTTTCTGACCGGTTCATCCGCTCGTGTGAAGGATAGAAAGAACCTGGACCAGGCTCAGATGCCTGTAATGTAGTCTCGGACTCCTGGTACTCTGCAGGCATCTGCTGAGGGTCTGCTGAGTGACAAAGGAATCTGTGTATGTTGTTTTGGAAGGGGGCAATGTGCAGGTAGATACCACCTGTGTTGGGGGTCAGCTGTGAATAACAAAGACACGCTTGTTTTATGAAGGCTGGGTCATACACACCAACCAGTATTTGCAGGCCCAAAGGAGGCAAATTTGCTAGAAACTTGTGTGATTCAGGCCTTGGTGAGGCATATGGGTGCTGTGAACAACCTCTCTGAGTTGGTGGAAAAGTTTCATGGGGCTGATAATGGAGTTGATGTCTCTTCTGTTCTGCCCCGCCCCCGTCGAATCTGTGGAACACCAGTTGCGAAGGCTGTTGCATGGTGACAGTAGAAGGGATTTTATAGTGACTTTGCTTAGCACAGGTTGGTTCTGGTGAACTCAGTTTAGGGAGAATGAAATTCTAAAGTTTTGCTAGTGTGCACCTCAGTCACGAACGGTCCAAACCCCAAAACACAGCGAGGCTTCCACAGGGGGCCACTAGAAGCTGAAACCAGTAATTTCCCTTTCTGCTCAATGGGAACATCCTTTTAAGGATACTTTTAAAGTGTGCCTCTTTGGTGGTGATTTTAAATTAGGCTGCTTTACTTTGTACTTAAATGGTCTAGGATCTTTGCAGAGCTCAGCTGAGGGAAACTGAATCTGGGCAGTTCCTGAAGCTATCTGCAAATGTATGTTTGAAGATGCCCTAGGTCTGCACTTTCCCAGATGCAAAGAAAAACTACTCACCATGCTTTCAACCTATATTTTAGCCTGAGATCAATGTGAAAACTAAAAAAGCACAAATTGAAGTAATTTTATATTTAAGAAATCTAAGGCCAGAAGAGATCAGCTAGTACAATTGCTTGTATGTTTTCATTTTATGAAGTAGTTTTTGTTTGTAACCAAAGCAACTTGTATTTGCTTCTGGAAAGATACTCATTCTCACTTGACCTGAGGACATTAATAGAAAGGAAATTCATGGCTTCTTCCAGTGTCTAATTTCAATCTTTTTCCTTCTCATTTCAAACAGCTTGGACCCGCTATCTAGCTCCTGGCATTTAAGGCTCTACTGTATTGGATTAAAAGACCTTTTGAACCCATGACTTCCTCAGCTGGTAAGTGAGCGATATAACATATGTATAATATAACATATGCAGTATAACTAATCAAATCATCATCTTGTTTAACTAAATTAAGCTTAAAGTCTCTTGCTGTAAGGTGTATTTTCATGTTTGAATGTTTTCTGCACCAGCTCTGATTTTTTTTTTTAACCTTCTTAAAATGCACTTGCTGAAAACAATAATGAAATGCTAATGTTGTATAGGGAGCTGAAAATCCCATGGAAGGAGAGAGACTATTTTTTCCCCCTTTTCTTTTTCTATAGCTCAGCTCATGCAGAAGCCTGAGAGGCTTAAAGTGCACAATTTCGTGACACTATCCATTTAGATAACTATGGTCTCAGGAAATCTCTGTAAGAAAGAGTGTAAATGCAACTTGGAACCAGGGATCTCATGCAAGAAAACAAAAATATGTCTTAGGAAGCAGAGGAAGGATAGGCTTCTGGTTAAGCTGGCCAGATTGATGGATTAGTTTGATCCTTGAGTTTTCCATGTGCTTCCTGTATGACCTTGTTCAAACCATTGGGCTCATCTGTGAAGCAAGAAGATGTTCTCCTCCCATCCATACTGGCTTGTGTATTTCCGTGGTCCAAGTGAGCATGGCCCAAGCCACGGCTGGTGGGCCAAACTGAGCAAGGGACATGCTGTTTGGCCTGGTTGTTTTCATCAGCGGAGAGAAGGAAGAGCTGCTTGGGCAAAAGTCTTGGTGTGTTCCAAAAGCTGAACACCAGATTTGTAAACCCCATGTGTCTGCACCTGTGTCCCTGCAGGGCGGAGGAGTAGTTAGGGCTGGAGACCTGCTTCTGTATGTGTGCGTGTGTGTGCACATAGCTGATGGGGCCATAAATTGGGAAATCCTAAAACTGGGCTCCAACAGCTGGAGATGTCAAGACTGGATGGCTCCTTGGGGATTTTATCTGTGGAGAGTTTTACCATAACGTGGCAAGTCCTCCCAGCTGACCTGGTCTAACAAGGAGCAGTTTTCCCCTGCAACAGGTGTGAGTGACTGACATGCAAAGAGAGGGGAAAATGAGCCCTTCTTTCTATTCTTCTTCAACTGCATATCAAACGAGAGTCCTCCTCCTGTTAGTGTGCTGCTCCTCTCTCCTTTTACAAGGTGGTGCACTGTCAGATCAGATAGATAGTCTGTTTGTATTACTTTGGAATGGAAAAGAATAAAGGCAGTTTCTATAAAGAAGGACTTGAAAAGGCTTCACTGGTTTTTCATCAGACCTGCTGGAAACCTTCCTTCCCCCCCCACTGCCCCTTCCCCAGTCCCACCCCTGAAATGCTCACCTCTTCCTGCCTTTGTCAGGGAAGTGTCAGATTTGACACCTTTGCAGTAAAGGTACAGAAATGCAAATGGAGAAATACAGCAACACCTAATCAGAGGATGTAAACTTTCTGTGAACCTAATTTGTGGATTTAATAAAAAAAAAAAAAGCCTTATTGCTAACACATTTCTAAAATGCTTTTGACACTTTTCAAAAAACTCCTAATAGGCCTGCTTTGACCTGGCTTTTTCTTTTCAGCTAATACAGGACTGAGGTGTGCACAGGGGAAAGGCCTGTTATCCCTCTGCTGTGGCTCTTCCCAACCATCCTGGCTTTGGGAAAGCAGGTGGCCATGGCCAGCAAGCTTGCAGCCCCATGGCGTGTTTCCTAGTGCAGCAGCAGGGATGGGATGTGCCCAGGTCTCCAGCTGTTGTGGCAGATGTGCAGGGAGCTGTGTGGGCCCACCAGCCTGTGAGGGGTTACCCCATGTGTGGGAAGCGCAACAGCACTATACACAGGAATGGGAAAGGGAGCAGGTAAATAGGAAAGGGAGCAGGTAAATAGGAAAGGCCAGCTTCAGCTTGGATTCTCCAGGGCCAATACAGGAAAAGCTAAGCAGCATGTCTGCAATGCTGCTTAACAGAGATGACTCTGCTGCTACTCCCCCCCCCCCCCCCCCCCCCCCAGATCCACTGCTGAACCAAAGCTGGCAATTTTATGTTGACTCTTGGCTGCGTTTCTGTCACTGAAGTGTCAGGATTTGCACTTGCTTTCACAGGAGCGTTACAGAAGAGCCCTAACCCCGGGGTCTTTCATCTCATGGAAATGAAGCCAAGCTGAGCTGCCTCTGGTGTTCCTGCAGCAGCAGAGAGGTTGAAGCGGCTGTGCCAGCTCAGGAACCGCCATGGATGTCACACCCAAAGACAGCCAGCTCAGGCAACTGTCTGCAGCCTAATGCTGCTGTGTGTGCATGCTGTTGTGAGCCGCAGGCTGGGCTGTGGCTGCTGTTGCCATGTTAAGGAAACAGGCTGTGGCTTTACCTTCCTCTTGAGAGCACCTTACAGAAAGGGGCATTTCTAGATGTTAAAAACGAGGGGCTCTGTCTTAGAGGGTAACATACTGTAATGTGTGAACTCCCTTGATGATTACAGTGAGGTATTGTTATCTGGGCTAATTAAGCAGAAGTGGAGAGTGAAGTATCAAACACTATGTGATACCTAGGGGAAGTAGCTGTACAGAAAGTACATCTGGCCTTGTACTGGGGCTAGAGAGGTGCAGGCTCAGTCCAAGAGGTCATCTTGTGTGTAGGGTGTTACTTTTAGTGCAAGTGTTCCAGGCTCCTCCTTCATTTACACTTCAAAATACTAACCTCCCTCCCTAAAGCAGAAAGGTCACTACAGAAGCTCTCTCACCTCCCTCTGCTGAGCTGGTTTTTGCCCTTTTCCCCCCAGTTCAAAGGGAATTTAGCACAAAAGGGAGTAAGAACCAAACAAATCTGATGCCCATCTTTGAATGAGAACACCCACCTCAGGTAACTTAAAATTACAAAGGAGAGATCTTACCAGTATCTTAGTTTCCATTTTTATTATTCCATAGGGTTGTTAACAAAAAGAAAGTTACATGTCTAGTCCCTTGGTAGTTAGGTTGCTTCCTTTCTTGCTTGTTCTACATTTGGGAACTTCCATGTATTAAGCAACTTCATAATCCTTTTTGTTTTTCTCTTTACAGTGTCAGCTCTCTGAAAGGTATTATCACAGCATAAATAACCTGCATCTCCCAAAAGTAGGAACAGGGGAGGTGTCAAACCTTATGTACAAGAATGCTGAGGGTGTCCCCCATGAAATTTTTTTAATTTTAAAGAATACTTTCCAAATCCATTGCACACTCTATTCAACTTTGCATTCAAGAGCAAAAAAACCCTACTCCAAACAACCAAACCAACCAACCAAACAAAAAACAAACCCAAACCCCCTGTGAAGTCATGTCCCAGGACAGGATTTGCCTAGCACTTCTGGGGTTAGGACTGTAGATGTATGAGCAACACCTTCAGATGGGAGATCGAGTAGAGTAGGTTTGAGACCAGCATCCAGATAAACTAGCCCAGAAATCTGTGGCCCAAGATCAACCCTACAGCAATATTACCTTGCTCACTGCAATAACTTAAGTGTCTTCTAGTATTAAACAGAAGAAACATTTGAATTCCAATACTTGAGCTAACAATGCTTAGTACAAGAATTAAGTGCTTAATTACCAGCATTGTTTCCACAACATATACATACTTTTGTTAATAGTTAACAATAGGGAGCTGTATTTAATTTTTTAAACCAGTTAGAAGTGCATCACACTCCACAATACGTGATCTGTTGTGAATTCAGTATTTTATTAAAGATTAAAAATAAAAAATGTTTGACACCCTAATATACATAAAGTCACAATAAACTCAAATGTGCTAAAAGCAAAATGTGCATAAAGACACTCATTTCTAAAAGGCACCCTGCCACCAATATCTTTTAAATGCTCATCTAATTCCAACAGGTTTCTAGTTTTCTCTTCCTTCACTGAAGGTGAAACTCTATAGACTGCTACCGAGTACAGATGCTAACCACACCAACCCCTTTCAGGGATCTTTGCTATCACTAGAACACTTAAAACTCTACATGCAGACTTATCTGAGCTTCTCATGGAGTTAACCGTCATGATTTGAAATGCACAAGGGCTTTTTCTTAAGAGAAAAAGGTAGTGATATTTGGGCCACTTATAAGGGCCAAGAGAAAGAGACAGGGTTGTAAAATAACTGCTGTGTATCCCCCAAAGAGCTTTGCTACTAGAAGCCAACTCCCTCCTCCCCCCTCATCAAAACAACCCCTAAAGTTACAAAATGCCACACGCACACACACATACACACAGATGAAATGTTAACATGTTTAGCTATTAGCCTGTCAGGGCATGACAGCGTAAGAGTGCCATTGATGCAGTCCCAAAACACAGCGATGCCAGCTGCACACATGCACACGTGCTGGCGGTCCTCTGTGCTGCTTGGAGGGCTGCAGGGGAGCGTGGGGCCCTGCTGCTCTTCCTGCTAGGTAGGTCTGCGTTGACTCCTGCGTGCTCCTCTGTTACCAGGGTCTCCACATCGATTTGGGTAAGCTAGGCGAAGGCAGGCCATGCGTCCGGGAAGCGTCCAGTCCATCAGTGGAGGTCTGGCCAGGCTCGGCCTCCACCTCATCCGAGTCGGAGCAGGTCTCTTCACTGGGGGAGGGCGAGGGTGCTGAGGCAGGGAGAGCGAGGCCCAGGGAGGCCTCGGCCGCTGGGGCCAGCGCCTCACTGCTGGGCCAGGGGCCGAGGGCAGGATCTGCCAAAATGTCCGCGATCAAGTCCGGGAAGCCGCCCTCGTTGAGGGGCATGGACTCCAGCAGGTGGTTGAGCAGCTCAGCAGCCGTGGTGGCATCGATGCCAGGGCAGCTGGAGACGAAGGTGTGCACCTCGTGCATGCACTGGATGTAGCCGGCGGCGAAGCGCTCGCTGGCCGCGCGGTGCAGCCGCCCGCCCTCTGCGCCGCGGGAGACAGAAAGGGGAGCGGGGTGAGGCGAGGCGCGGGCCGGGCCGG